GGAGGTTAAGCCCTTTCCGATCGCTAACCGATAAAACTTCTAACATTTGATAAGTTGTTTCTGTCACTATAGACTACGAGTAGTCCCCCATTTTTCCTCAGGGATAGTAGAGCGAGCGAAACGCGAGCGCGCGTGTCGCCTTTTCTCGCGTGGGGTGATTTTCACGCGCACTCGCAATTCGCTCGCTCTACTATCCCTGAGGAAAAATGGGGGACTACTCGTAGTCTATGTCACTACGACATTCTCGCTAAAACCCGCATTAGAATGACGGCGGCTGTTGCGTTTTTCGGCCAAAATAACGCCGCTTCACTCACGGCGCATTACTTGGTGTTGAGAAAATCTCGTTCTCGCAGTCATCCTTGTCTTAGAATCTAAAGGTCTCTATTCCTGCAGAGGCGATCATAAGGCAAAAAACGTTTTTTATGTTACAGATGAGGTTCGGACTGGCACCTACAGACAGCTATTTCACCCAGAACAGTTGATAACTGGCAAAGAGGATGCCGCTAACAACTATGCTCGTGGGCACTACACTGTTGGAAAGGAGATGATCGATCAGGTTCTGGATAAGATTAGGAAGCTTGTAAGTATTTATATTAAGAGCCATGACATACCCGTTCACCATTTTTCTTTTTAGTTCATGAATTTAAAAACTAAAGAAAAAAGCGCACAGTTGATACAATGCAACATAATTTTACGATAATAAATCAATATAATACAACATAGTTTTACAATATAGTAATACAAGTTACCAAGTAACAGAAAGAAAAAAAGCGATAAAAAAACGACAACAAAAACTAGGACATATGATTTAAAAGTAACCTAAGATCAGGCCCAATTTTAGCGGTTCTCATACATTCTCTCTAACGGCTACCGCTAAGCGAAACGAAAATTGAGCCTGATCTCAGGTTAATTTAAAAGTCATTAACTCTTGAAGTCACAACGCATATCAGAAATGCGCAGCAAGGTCCACTTATTTCTATATTTGGTGAGTTTTCCGGCTTTAATAGCAATTTTCCTTTAACACTGAATTTTAGTTTGTTCCCCATTTCGCAGTATAAACCCCTTTGGGTGCGAGAAAGAGGGTTCGTCAAGCGTGGCCTGGTGCCAAGCTTCAGACAGCAACCTGGTCCCCAGGGCTTTAACCATTTTCCAAGAGAAAAGCCCTGGGGCAAAGTCGTTCGGACATGGCCCATGCCTTTACCTGGAAGTTAAGACTCGTTTTTTTTTCGGGAAGGCGAAAAAAAGCATCTCCCTTCTCTTTTATTCTATGTGGAAAAAAGAATAGTACAGTTAACGTACCTTCAGTGTGGCAAAGGGATTCGTTGTCAAAATCGAACCGTGGCTAGTTTTTACTGATATACCCTTCTATTTGATAGACAACCTCTAAGCACATATTAAATGTCATTTTGCCCCTAACTTCCTCGAAAGTCGGCAAGTTGCTTAGTCATGCGGTTTTTGTTGATGCTTCTACAGCCTATCATGAAAGACTCTTTGTTTAACATTTTGCTCTTAGGCGAAGATTTCCAGTGAATTAAGGTCACCCATAGCCTTTATTACAGTCAGTCCTCATACAAGTGGTAATAAGTTTCTGTGATGCGGGTAATGTCACGCAATGCCTCTCAACCAAAAGAAAGAAGGCCCAAGTTTTTCTTTTTCATAGAGTCACAAGCTCTGCCCCACTTTCCCTTCGTGTGAGTTTACAGCTAATAACAATATTACATTTTTAAATGGTTCTGTCGCTTTCTGTAGCTGATGAGTAAATAATGTGCCGGCGTACGGCAGTTTTATCCTTCAAGCCTTCTTATTATTTCTGGTTCTATTTTATGGGTTTCAAGTTTTTTAACTGTTTCATCTCACAGGCAGACCAATGCACAGGCTTGCAGGGATTCCTTGTTTTCCACTCTTTTGGTGGAGGTACTGGTTCTGGCTTTACATCTCTGCTCATGGAACGTCTGTCTGTTGACTATGGCAAGAAATCCAAATTGGAGTTCTCTATCTACCCTGCACCGCAAGTTGCAACGGCAGTCGTTGAACCTTACAACTCTATTCTGACCACTCACACCACCTTGGAACATTCTGACTGTGCCTTTATGGTGGATAATGAAGCCATTTATGACATCTGTCGTCGTAACTTGGACATAGAAAGGCCAAGTTACACCAACCTGAACCGTCTGATTGGTCAGATCGTATCCTCCATTACTGCTTCACTGCGCTTTGATGGTGCACTGAACGTTGACTTGACTGAGTTTCAGGTACAGGGTATAAAAAAACTATAAGCATAGTTTAAGACATGTGAAAAGTAAGTGTTTAAGTGCGTGAACATTTTGCGCGTGTTTTTTTTTTTTCAGACCAACTTGGTTCCATATCCACGTATTCACTTCCCACTGGCCACTTATGCTCCAGTTATCTCTGCTGAAAAAGCCTACCATGAACAGTTGAGTGTTGCTGAAATTACCAATGCCTGTTTTGAGCCAGCCAATCAGATGGTGAAATGTGACCCACGTCACGGCAAATATATGGCTTGCTGTCTGCTGTTCCGTGGTGATGTGGTACCTAAGGACGTGAACGCTGCTATAGCGACAATCAAGACCAAGAGAACCATTCAGTTTGTGGACTGGTGCCCTACTGGCTTCAAGGTTCGCTGTGTAGTTACGTTTTTAGGTAGACTGAGCAATAGCCTGCGTAGCAAGTTCTGCGAGACTTCGTTGCGAACGTTGTAACGAGACCGAAAAAGAGGGATGAAGGGGGAGGAGAAGGGGAGAAAAGTTTTTATCTTCTCCCCTCACCCTCCCCCCTACGTCCATATTTCTCGATAAAACTTTCGCGCAATAAGTCACTGAATCGGAAACGCTTGCTACTAAAATAAAAAGGTGAAAGAGTGGAAAGTACTAAGGGTGACTTACGGTGACTTTCCTCTCTGCCATTGGACTAATCGGTTTAAGATCTACGCGCGCCGTCGTCTTTGTCGTACGCCGCGTTGTGTTTATTTTGGTTGACAATGATTTTCTTGGTTGTATTGTATCTTTCAACCGGAAAAAAAAAGCAGACCAGCGGCGAATAAATCGTTTGGAACTGATTCATTTTTCAGGTTGGCATCAATTACCAGCCTCCCACAGTTGTTCCTGGTGGTGACTTGGCCAAGGTTCAGCGTGCTGTTTGTATGTTGAGTAACACCACAGCTATTGCTGAGGCCTGGGCCCGTCTGGATCACAAGTTTGATCTGATGTATGCCAAGCGTGCTTTTGTCCACTGGTATGTGGGTGAGGGTATGGAGGAAGGAGAGTTCTCTGAGGCTCGTGAAGATTTGGCTGCTCTGGAGAAGGATTACGAGGAAGTGGGTGTGGATTCTGTAGGTGATGAAGGCGAGGACGAAGGAGACGAGTACTAGAGAGGCTCAGAAAAAAATGTGCAGTAAACCCAATAAAAGCTTACTGAGAATATACATGGAAGTGAATGTGTGATTACTTAAGATAAAAAAAAAGAACCGAAAGAATAAGAGAACGACCTAAAAAATCGAAAGAGTGGAATGATCTCGCTGATCATTTTTTATTCGTTTTTTATGTGCGGTGAAACTACGTAGTAGCTGTGGCATCGGGTATTTACGAAGAAGATTTGCCCTGTGTCGGGATAAAACTCATTACAGTTCGAAAAAACCTTAATTGGGGTTTGACCTTTGTTTCTTCTGGTAGTGAGTGTTCGTCACAAAACACTTAAAAAATGAGCCATTCTTTTGTCAGAAAATGTGCGTTAGTGCTAAAAAAAACCTCTTAAATTTGCGTTAAACATTTGGCTAAGTGTTGTCCTTTTTCAGATTCTTAATGCTAAACATCTTTTCATCGCTCGTTTCAGGAAATTGTTTGATGATAAAGACAAAAACAATTAATTCTACCCAGCTCCTCCGCCTTTTAAAAACAAGGGGTTACCAAAATTCAAATTCTTTGAATCAAGCGCACAGTGACAGTGGAACAACGCAAATCCAGCCCACCGTTGATAGGAGCACTTTATTATTGCCATTTTGGCCACTTACTTTGAGCCAAAAATAAAAAAACCAATCATTCATTTTTCCAGAGAACCTCATTAACACTATCAAGGCCCTTTCACAGCTCAAAACTGGTTTCACTTTAATTACCTGAATTGTTACATGTAATTGTATTTTCATCGGTGTTTTGCTATTTAGATTCCTCTTTTGTCCTACATACAATGATATATTAGTTTAATTTAAATTATTGCTTTCTCTCTTTCTTTTCGTTTCCTTATTTGTGACTAACTAGTAGCCAGCTTAAAGGAGTCTGCTACTCTGGCTAATTCGTCAAACATATTCAGAACTTCACTCTTTGTAGTCACATAACTTCTATCAGTTCCATAGTACTGTTTTCTGCGCTTTCTCTCTCTTTTAATAAATATGCACGTTGTTGTTGTTGTTGTCATTGTTGTTTTGCGATTTAATTTAATGATATCAGCCAATCATTTGGCAGACGTTTATTAAGCTGTTATTGAGAGTTTATTGAGAAACACCTGTTAATTACTAGATTTAATACGTTTTATTCGGCGGAGATTTTTGATCACTATTAGGCTATTAAGGGTGACGTAATATCGTGCCACGCATGTCGCCATCGTTGCACTTATCATGAATAGCATTGCAGGCTCAAGATATATAGAAAATAACATAAGAGCGCCCGCCCACCCAGTACATACCACTTCATACAGCCGGGGTACAAGTTCTTCGTTCGGTTGGTCACTTATCGGCGGAGAGGCTTTCACTTTGTTCATCATTTGCAAGACTGAAAATCTCTGACTATTTCTGACAATGGTAAGCTGACTTTCTATATAATTACCCGAGTTACATTTTGAAAGCATTTTCTTTTCTTTTTAAACGTTCGTAGGGCTCAAGGTAGCAGGGAGCTCTCTTATTTCACAGTCTATGGATAAGCTCCACCCTTGCAACGTTTAGCGGCCGGCAATGAAATTTGAATGATTTTTTGTTGATTTCGCTTTAACCCTTTCAGCGTGAGTGTATTTCTGTCCACGTTGGTCAAGCCGGAGTTCAGATTGGAAATGCTTGTTGGGAGTTGTACTGCTTGGAGCATGGAATTCAGCCTGATGGTCAGATGCCGAGCGACAAAACTATCGGCGGTGGTGATGATTCCTTTAACACATTTTTCAGCGAAACTGGAGCGGGAAAACACGTTCCTCGCGCTGTGTTTGTCGATTTGGAACCCACCGTAGTCGGTGAGAAAAGGAAACATTGTTTTATAATCTAGCAGTAGAAATAAAATAAAGATTTGTAAGTTGAAAAATCTGCGAAGAAAAAGACAAATCAAAATATCTTATTTAATATATCGCCAGAGATATAAACGAAAACATTTTCAAGAGGCGGAATATTATAAATTAGAAATTATGAACCAATAATATATTGACCACGGTCCTTAAGCGCAATTTTAAGGTATGAGTTGATAACATACGGCTTTTTTATTGCAACATTCTGAGTTTATGTTGTCAAGAAAGTTTGAAATAGAGATATAATCGTCCCGCACGGAATCTGGACTATTTCGTGTAGGTAGAAATTTGCAATTGAACTACTGGTTTCTATGGCATTAGTTAGCATGTCATTCATTTTTTTTAAAATTCAAAGTATCTATAAAATTTACATATATTGGTGCTATTGAAATTGACAGAAATTATGAACAATAAATTAAGTGGAGTGTTTTCTTGCATCATGTATAGCAAACGAATATATTTATTGTTACAAGAGATTCTTGTAAAGATTTTGCCTCGGACAATGTTCGTGACGCTACTAGAACCAAAGTTCAACTTGTTCATATTCACTAAAATATTGCTTCCGTTCCGAGAGATAAATCGACAACACCAATTGTATCAGTCATGCGTTTAGCCGCTCAGTTTTTGATGAATGTGCCTTTTAATTTGTTCATTTAGAGATCAATATGACACCGAAGTCAACTTTTTGTAGAAAATGCTTATCTTTTTGGGCCTATCTGATACCGGCACAGAAAAACAAAAATTGATGATATGACTTTTAAAAAATGGTCATAACTAGACCTTTTATTCTATATTTCACAGATGAAGTTCGCACAGGCACCTACAGACAGCTGTTTCACCCAGAACAGTTGATAACTGGCAAAGAAGATGCCGCTAACAACTATGCTCGTGGGCACTACACTGTTGGAAAGGAAATGATCGATCAGGTTTTGGACAGGATTAGAAAGCTGGTAGGTATTCAAGAAGATGTATATAGAGATATTGTTTAGTTCAGTGCAAACTTCTGTCAGTTTTTCTGTGTATTGGAATTAAATGATTCCTTTAAGCATTTTGAAAGTTAGTTCCCTGCTTTATATCACAGGCAGACCAATGCACAGGCTTGCAGGGATTCCTTGTTTTCCACTCTTTTGGTGGAGGTACTGGATCGGGCTTTACCTCTCTCCTTTTGGAACGTCTGTCTGTTGACTACGGCAAGAAATCCAAATTGGAGTTCTCTATCTACCCCGCACCGCAAGTAGCAACAGCAGTGGTTGAACCTTACAACTCTATTCTGACCACTCACACCACCTTGGAACATTCTGACTGTGCCTTTATGGTGGATAATGAAGCCATTTATGACATCTGTCGTCGTAACTTGGACATAGAAAGGCCAAGTTACACCAACCTGAACCGTCTGATTGGTCAGATCGTATCCTCCATCACTGCTTCACTGCGCTTTGATGGTGCACTGAATGTTGACTTGACTGAGTTCCAGGTAAGGTGTTGCAAGCTCTTTCGAGAAACCAGAATCGACAGATAGAATCGGCTTGTCCTGTGAATGATTTTGTGATGCTATTGACAACATTTGTCGAGGCCTTTTGAATCGTCTGACATATCGTGGTTAGGGTGGGACTGTCACGCGAGATATGAACTAACGTAAAAATGCCTTTGCAAGGATGAAAATTCACTATCACTAATTTTTGCACCCACAAACGAATATGTTAATGTAGTAGCTGTTCATCATTAGCAAGTCGATTTAACAACTGTTTTCAATACTAATTGAAAACATAACAATTGTACCATGTGATGAAAGAACATATAAAACCACGAGCCATATGGCTCTTGATAAAACCCTGTATGGGTACAGCGAACTCCCTTTATAGCGGACAATGGGAGCTCGAGTTAGCGTCCTCTTTAGCGATAGTCCATAATAGTGGGAGTCTACTTCATTCAAACGTCTGTAATTTGTTTTTTGCCGGGGACTTAGGTACTGTTCGTTTTATCGTGGTGTCCGTTATTATATCTGGGTGTCCGCAGGGCGAGGGTTGACTGTACTTCGACGGAATTTAACTTGCAACGATCGCTATTTATGAAACGACGATCCTAGAGATTAAAGCGACGATCGAATTGCCATTCCGACCAAGTTTGACAACGTTAGTCGTGCGAAAACGGCAAAGAAATATGCCTAAAGGTGTGTTGCACATTCGGCAGTTTTTGTTTTGCTTAACTAAACCCGTCTTATTTTCATTGCCTCGTTTCTTCCGTCGTTGTCGTGGTTGTACAAACTCGGTAGTGGCTTTATCAAGCAAAAATTTTCTTTGCAACCGGATTTCATTGAAAAACCAACGATTTGACGGAAACGCGCGGCGAAAACGACGTCCCCAGGTACCAATAGAACGGCTCACATGCATGTGACTAAAGGAAACATCACAAAATAAATGTAATCCTTCAAGATGTAGTGGGAGTGAACACCGTTGTCAACAAACGAGCAAAGTTAGGTGCAATGAAACTATTTACTATTAACGGTTGGCTTTTCTTCACAAACAAAGACAAGGAGAAGAACTAACTCCAACTGGAAAAAGTTATGCCAACGTTTTCAAGCTGCATGTGTCATTGTTCTTTCATATCACTGATTCACTCAATAGGTGATGCCGTTCCTGCTTCTACTGTTGGCAAGCTTATATCTTAACTATGTTAACCATTTAGTTAAAACTTTCTATCTTTTTACGGGTTCTCCGGCACTGACACTGAGGCAGCGCGGATTAGTGAGTGCTCAGGATGCTTGACCACGATTGTATAATTCGAATTTTCCAATTCTGTTTCTATTAAAAAGTTATCAAACAGATATTGCGTAAGCGCATAAGTTCAATGATTCTAGATTGTCATGACACCCTGATAGGCAAAGGCACTTAGGGGCATTTACTCTACTAATAAGAGTCGCCCGCGAACAGTATCCTGACTGATCATGCGAAGACGGTTGATTGGAAGCTTGGCTGCCGTATCCATTTGCTGGATTCTTTTCTCGAGAGTCTCGGCTCAACTCCTTAGTGTAAACATTGCTATCGTCCTTTTAGAATATTTTTTAATAGGATTTTCCCAGGTTCAACTTAATACTATTGAGAGAGATCATTCATTTATTTTTTATTCATTGTAGAACCGAATTTGCAATTTAATCTCAATTGTATTAAGGTTTATCCTTCCTTGGGTCAATGTATCGCTTACCTTCTTTATTCAGACCAACTTGGTTCCATATCCACGTATTCACTTCCCACTGGCCACTTATGCTCCAGTTATCTCTGCTGAAAAAGCCTACCATGAACAGTTGAGTGTTTCGGAAATCACCAATGCCTGTTTTGAGCCAGCCAATCAGATGGTGAAATGTGACCCACGTCATGGCAAATATATGGCTTGCTGTCTGCTGTTCCGTGGTGATGTAGTACCTAAGGATGTGAATGCAGCTATCGCAACAATCAAGACCAAGAGAACCATTCAGTTTGTGGACTGGTGCCCTACTGGCTTCAAGGTTCGTGTAACTCAGTGCCTTAAAAATTTTGATTAAATTCAGTACAAGCAGTTCTTCAATGTTTTTACGCATGTTATTAGTTTTTCAAACCGTAAAAGAGAAGCTAGGAAAATGGACGTGTCAGTCAAGCTCTCTCAATTGATCTCATTTTTCAGGTGGGCATCAATTACCAACCTCCCACAGTTGTTCCTGGTGGTGACTTGGCCAAGGTTCAGCGTGCTGTTTGTATGTTGAGTAACACCACAGCTATTGCTGAGGCCTGGGCCCGTCTGGATCACAAGTTTGATCTGATGTATGCCAAGCGTGCGTTTGTCCACTGGTATGTGGGTGAGGGTATGGAGGAAGGAGAGTTCTCTGAGGCTCGTGAAGATTTGGCTGCACTGGAGAAGGATTACGAGGAAGTTGGCGTAGATTCTGCAGCTGATGAAGGCGAGGATGATGACGGAGACGAATACTAGAAGATGAGCTGCTGTCATGTTGTCAGGAAATGTGTGTTAAATGCTCAATAAAAGCATGAATTGTCTTTAAATCAAGTGTGAGCGTGTTTAGCACAGCCTAAGCAAAGGATCGTGCCGTACTCTTTCAACAGGCAGACTTTTGCACAGATAATGCAAAGTGAAATGAAAGTGCCAAAGCGTGCGGAAAGTACTGAAGACAACTTCTTGTGCTCAACTTTTGACTTGTTCTCAATCTGTTAGTGCTCTAGTCGGTTTGCGCGTCGTCGTCATTTTGAAAACCTAATGATTGCACATTTCCCTACCTTTCCGTGTGAAATGCCTACCCTTTTGTATACCCCAAGCCTAAAATGACCCCTTCCGTGCATTTGCTTGTCTTGTGTAGGCCAGTATGGGAGTTACCACCCCCCCTGCATTAAGGTTGAGACTAGAATGGATACCCCAAAATCAGATTGAAATCTTTTCTCAACTGAATACATGAAAGGAGTCTTGTAACTTAAAGTAGTTAATAAGAGAGGAAAGAAAACGGAAAAAAGCAGAGTTTTTAAGACATGAATCCGCATAATTTAATTTATAATCCAAATCCGTATCCCGGCAACACCATCACCAGTTACCTTTGACGTACGCTACATGGCATTGATCATTACTATTTGACAGCTAGCCATTTTTAAAAGAGTGCTTAGCCCTAATCTTTGTACTTCGGGGGTAAACCTATATCATATAACTCTTTTCCTTGGCAACTGTTTCTTGCTCTGATTTCCCCAATTTTCTCAAAAAGGTGCCCAATAAATCTGGAAAAAATCTTCTTTTCGAGGAGTATAACGTTGCGTAACAAATGTGAAGTGTCCACCTGATTATAGTCATTCCTCGTAGAGCCCATCTTGCCCGGTCGCCCAAGATATCCCACTTTGGTCCCGCGAGAAAAAGTTTCTTTTTTGGCCATAAAATAAATCCGTTATTGACTAAGCTTGTTCGGTCAAGGTGGCTGAATATTGGCCTCGTTCCTTTTTCGCGTTTTTATTGAATCTGTGGCACACCCATATTGGACCTAGTCGGTAATATTTTCCTATAGGTGACACATTTATAATAACAAGAATGCAGTAAAGGGAACTGCAAAGACATGACAAACTACAACAAATTCTCTTTGGATTGCACTTAAATCATGGTACTGTATGTAAAACACTCTTTTTACCTATCATTGATATTTGATTCCGTATTCCTTTTACGTTTCCCTTTCTGTGATTCCGTTTCAGGAATTTGGATTCCATGTTGTAGGACTGCCCGATAATTGTTAAATAGCCCACGTTCGATATATTAAACTTCTGACATGACTCCGAGGTTTTCTTTGTGCTCAAGGCTCCAGTTGTGATACATTGGATTACTATATCGAACGTGGGCTATCCCTCGTGTACTCTATCAAAAATGTTTCTCCCACAACCTAATCCTGCGACGGTTTCCAGCAAATTTTTCCAGCAGGGTTATCCGCCCTGGTTTCCAGTCTACCCGGAAGAAGAAGTGAAAGGCTTGGCCACTAAGCGAAATGGCGTCTCAAACTTTCTACGGGAGGTCACTGCCTTCGAAGTTGGTTGATTATCGGTCTACAGCGTCCAAAAATCGCCTTTGTCGTTCTTTGCAATCAGGCCTTGCTGTTCCTTACTTAGCTTTGTCATCATGTTTCAATACTCAGGCCGAGCCCGCCTTTTGTGGGTTAAGTACTTTGGCGATCATTCTGAACTCACTTCGCATCGACCCTCAGCGTGTTTGGAAAACAATTTGGCGGTGGTATTCAGAAGAGCTGTTGGAATGTTGTCGCCCTTTAGAGGACGTGAAAGTTTCGGGGATCACTTTGGAGGAATTTGTTTGCTTGGCAGATTGTAATGGCGCTAGTACAAGCCTTGTTCGGCCTGTTGATTCTAAAGAACAGTACCAGGAATTTGTCCAAACCGTTTATCGCGTTTGTACCGGTGGACGACTGAAACAAAGCGATGGGGAGGAAAATTTCGATGAAGAAAACCCGGAGGAATTCATGGCAATATCATATTCAAGGAAGACACTTGGACAAACTGGAGATGGTCATTTTAGCCCCATTGCTGCATTGGATGTTGAAACTAACTCTGTACTCATTTTTGATACAGCAAGGTTTAAATACCCTCCCACTGGGTACCTCTTGATCTGTTGTTTCAGTCAATGTTACCTGTTGATAATACTACAGGAAAGAGCCGCGGGTATGTAGTTTTGAAGGCAAAATGTGAATATCAAGGGAGAAAGGTCTGCTGTATTTTGAAAGAACCTACAACTGAAGATGTCTTGAAAGATGGCTTACCTGAACCGAAACCATGTTATGAGAGTGGAAAACTCAATGGAACAGCTTGTATGAAATGTTGGGGGTCTAGATTGGTAACCAGTCAATAGACCTTTTTAGCTTGTTTGTTTTGTTTTCCCATTGCAGACCATGAGATTTTACCACAGAGAACTTTTCTTTTACATGTGACTGTCATGCTATCGAGGCAAGCAACATGGCCTTGAAACAGTGACATCCATGTATTAAAGACAGATGAAATGGTAAAAAATGACAGGAGGATGGGTTGAAACTGCGACAGCGACAAGGACAATCAAAAATACAATCGTGAAATACTGTGAGATTCAGACTCGGGACATTATATGTAACGAACGCCAAGACTGATCACATTCCTCTTGGTTTTGTGTGCATATCCAATGAAATGATCTGGGAAAATAAAAGCTACCAGCTAAAAAGGTCCATTGTTGTCTGCAACAATTTTATGTGCCTACTACTGTTAGAAGCTTGTGAACTACCCTAGAATTAAATGACAATGAATGCTCTGCAGGAGTCCATAACTGTCTGTGTCTTCTTGGCTGTAGAATGGGCCCTACACTTCAAGTGGTCAAGGTCTTATATTTTTCACCCCACAGAAACGGAGGAGCTAAAGGAGGCTGGGTCACATACTGTGAGGCATCTCAATGACTGTAAAATGATCACAGGATTGACTTGAGTTAAAATTGCTTCAAATTAAAGTGAATAACACAAGGGAAATACTCAATGCTCTTACAACATGAAGTTTATAACTCTCTAAAGAATAACCAAGTTTGGATGTAACAAAACGTGAATTGTCCTTTCACAGTCCGATTTCGACTGAAATCATTAATTTTATTCTGTGAATTTTACCTCCCATGTTCTTGATGGCAAACGAGGCTGTCTTGCAGATGTTATTCACATGTTTGTTCAACTGCAGCTTACTGCCTATAGACTCTCCCCTTCAAGATCTCTAACGAATACTGGCACAACTTACCAAGGCAGCTGAATACTGGCACAATGTACCGAGATCTCTCTAAGTAGCTTTGTAAGAAAACAAATCGGTATGATTATGCATGTATCATGTCGCTATGAACTCTATGAGACGTATACTTTCAGTTTTATCCCTTGAAGGGCATTGTTGGGACACTACACTATAAGTTACTGTATTTTAGCTGCTGTAGCACCTATTCATTTCTTTTGAATGCAGTAATTATGTGAAGATGGCAGTGCTTATTTATTTACTGACAACTTTATTTCAAAAACTATGCATATGAGCAAAAGGAACAACAAAAACTCTGCTAAAATGTCGCTGTCTCTTTCAAGAAGTGTGGCACAGCTGTATTGTATCATGATGAGCACACTTTTTGCTTATGTGGAAAACTTTGCAAGTTTTTATTCTTGCAGTTGACAAGAATTTTTATTTATTCAGGTTCTGGCAGTTCTTCAATATTTTTATAGTATAAGAACCACTCTTGAATTCAAAGCTTGTAATGTGTATTGTGTATTCTTCAACGGTAGTTTTGTACTTATTTCAGGATGGAGTTTAGTAGTATTTTATTGTAGTGTTCTGTATAGTGCTTTTTAGGTGGGGCTTAGTCGAGGATAGCAAACATTGTTTAAGTAAAATAACAGTAGACTCTAAAAAAGGAACAAGACTAGGAGCAAAAGGTTTTTTTTAAGAATATAAGTAATAAACAAACTGCGAGAGAAATAACTGAAATATGTAATTTGGTAATAGCACTGAGTGGAGTATAATTCAGGGAGTAGTTAATTACCATTATTAATATCAATGTCTCAATAACAAAATGTGAAAATCTCAGTTTAAGAAGTATATTTTATTGATTTTAGTACGAAGTTTTTATTACTTCAAGTTACAGCTTCCAAAGCAAAATATCGCTTACAACTTTTGGTGAAATCAGAGTATGGAGGCCCAACAAAATGTACCGTTTTAAAATTAAATCAATCAATCAATCAATCAACTTTATTGGTACATCCAATTAAAATGGGTTTTCATATACCAATTACAATAAAATCTAATATGAACAATAGAAATATAAAATAAACATTTGAAAGTGATAAAACATTACCATATTATTTAAAAAACATAAAACATGCATAATTACACCTATTGAGTGTCAATGGCTTAAAAACTTGCAAGTGCACGTCCTTTAATCTCGTTCTTAAAAACATTAAATGACTCTATGTTTGCTAAACTTTCTGGAAGGTCATTCCAGAGCTGAACAGCTCTATATGAGAAAGATCGCTGACCTGTTGCTGATCTAAAAGATGGTATATGAAGTTTATCTTTATTCCTAGTATTTCTAGTATGCACCTGGCTTCTTGTCGAAAACTTATTACACAAGGATGGTGGGGCTAACCCCTAATGTGTCAATATTTTGGTTTTCACTGATTTTGGTTTGTTATCATGAATTACATAGTTGAATTTGATTGGCTTGTCACATTTGCTATTTTTATTGGCCTGTTAACTGCCAGATTTGACCTGTGCGATTATAAGCCTCTGGTATTCTGAAAGTTTTGCAAATTTTGTGGCAAAATAAAGCCATTAATATTGGATGTTAAAAACTAATCAGATTCAAACATTTTGTTATCGAAGCAATTATAAGTATTCTATTTGTATATAAAAAATGTACTCAAAGCACCTTAGACCTAACTTTTGATTGGCTGAACAAACCTACAAAATGCAAGAGAAATAAAATAGATATTTTAATTTATGCATAAAGCAAGATGTTATAACTGAGACTGTAAACCTACTATTTGAATGGTATTTTAGCTAGGCCTTAAGCTTGGTTCACATGTACAGTGTATGCCATATATAAATGACATTAAAAGACATAAACAAACAACATAAGAAAGTTGTTGTTTTGTTGGTGCAAATAACGACAGAACATGTACATATGACGAAATATTAGCAACATAAAAACATTACGTTGTTTCTGGTAAAATAATGGTTTTGCAGGTAAAGAGCATCAATGTGAAGACAAAACAAAGAAACAATCAGAGCATCACAAAAACTTCATTTGTATTAAACTTAGTCTCGCTCACAAATTTCAATATGGTGGCCTTGATGAAGGCTTTTAATGGCAGAGATGTTGAGGTACAAGTGAATAATTGATGAACTGCTATCAGAAACAGTTCAGAAATAGCCCATCCCTTACATTCCAATATGAGAACTCAAAATCAATTTTTTCTTATTTTATTAGAAAACTAGTTTTAAATGAATAGCCTTTAGTAATATTGCTGTGACCTCCACGGTAACCGGCAGTCTATATTTAAGAGATTTTATGTTTAAGAATAAGCTGATCCCAGTCTGGAAAATACTCCTCTTTTATGTTGTAACAATGCCTTTCCAAGTTCTTCAATTCTGATCGGATCAGATTGGCCTGAGGGCTTGTAGGAACATTCCAGATGAGAACTGAAACTAATCCAAACAACACAGCATCCAACAGGCAAGGTTTGGTGCCCATGATATACTTTTTCTTTCCTAACAACTCTGAAGCAGCTCTCAGGTCATTCTCTGCAATGCTATAAATCTCCTCCTTGGTGTGTCGGCCAATCCCATGACTCCATAGGTAGTTTTTCAAGGCACGACAAAACAGCCAAGATGCAACATATTTGAGGGGATAAGGTGTCACGCTCAGCAAAGGTGACATTGTTTTTGTATCGGCAAGATCAACCTCAATGATATGATACATCACCGTCCTTTGAATTNCTCAGGTCATTCTCTGCAATGCTATAAATCTCCTCCTTGGTGTGTCGGCCAATCCCATGACTCCATAGGTAGTTTTTCAAGGCACGACAAAACAGCCAAGATGCAACATATTTGAGGGGATAAGGTGTCACGCTCAGCAAAGGTGACATTGTTTTTGTATCGGCAAGATCAACCTCAATGATATGATACATCACCGTCCTTTGAATTGAATGGAGAACAGAAAAGAAGTTATAGAGACAATGAATTATTATTAAGATGGAATCCATCAGGAAATTGAGTTATTAAAACTATAATTATATCTACAGCTCCTGAAAAGTGTAAAAAGGAATGCAGTGTGGCTTAAAATATTCTGGTACAAGGTTTTTGTCCACTGAAAATTAAAATTATTCAGTTTTCTGGTGGATTCCGTCTTAATCAACTTCACAGTGAGTATAAGTAATATATTAGGCGCCCCCTAAAGACAGGTACATGTCAGACTCTGCCAGCCATAGATACCTGGCAAAAGTAAAGCATGCATAGCAAGCAGCTGTTATTTTTTTGGTTAGTTTATATAAAGCATGCAAGGGGAACATGCAGAGGGGCCTCCTCTCCTATTCTCCCCTTGTGCCTGCACTGGTCTTTGAAATTTCTCCCTGTGCCCTAAAAATACCAGCACCTAATAGATAGGTTAGCAAAAGTACAGCTGAACAGCATTGTGTTGATACAGATAATATCCATCCTCCAACCATAGAGGACTTAATGGTTTGAACGCACCAGACTCCTCTTGAAAATTTAGTTAAGGTTCTTTCTGTTATGCTTAAGATCCTCCCCACCCACTTTGAATTTTCAGTGACCTTATAAGGACTAGGTACAAATCCAGAACCCTTTTTTTCGATTCATCTTGGACAGATATAGTATTGTTCTATGATTTTAGGTAGTTCTGTTTCAAGGAAGCCAAGAGGTTTATTAGCCTCATGAAGTCATGTTCATTCCGCATCCCCAACACAGGTTGACACACCCCCTGAACCCTGTCCAACTCTGGGCCAGGAGAACTTTCCAAAAAAAAAAAAAATTAATGTGCGTCAGTTACTGTATGTTTATTGACAAAATAAGCAACAAGAGTGCTTACCAATAGGTATTTTCCTCAAGTGTTACGATCATGGTGTGGGCGATGGCTTTTTCGACAACGCTCAAATGAGCATCAGGGTCAGCTTTAAACTCTTCGTTGAGAAAACGCACAATGAAATTAGAATCCGCAACCGATCTACCATTGTATTCTATCCACGGAACTTTGCCTTTGGTTGACGTCTTAAAGCTGTATTCGCTCTCATAAGGAATATTACACATTCTCAAATAAGTTTCTAACTTTAAAGATGGTGGAGAAACATTTAAAACTCGGTTGTTTGGAGGCATTTGATGAAGAAGAACAACTCCATCACGTAATCTCCGATTTGACTTTGGCATCAACTTCTTGAAAAGCATAAAAGCCTGCACCACCAGAATGATGAAGAGGAAAATACAAAAGGACACAAAGAAGAAGATGGGTACCTTCCAAAAATTCTCCGCCATCTTTACCAGGGGGCTGTGTGACTGAACTTAAGTTAAGGCATTTAAAGAATGTATACAAACTCAAAGCGAGGCTCCTTACGTCATTGGACGCCATATTTTTAGAAGGAGGGCAAGTTTTCTAGAGAACGATCGAGTACAGAATCTTTCATGAATTTTACGAAATCAGGTCGCTGTAGGGACGATCAGAATGGCGAAAATGAAATTTCTAGATCATGTGAAATGATATTCATGGATTTTTGGTCTAATTTTGTTTGTATTTCTTGAGAAAGTAGCCAGTGAAACCAACCGTTTCAACCGGCCGGCCATTTTGAGAACAGACCGTCTGAAGCTCAGAAAAGTCTAAAAACCTCAACAAAAAGATTTGTTTTTGAATCCTTAACCCTGGAAAGTTTGTTAAGTCTGTAATGGCTGATCCTGCCTCGCGAAAATCTGCAACACTTAATCGTTTACGCTCGGCACTCCGCAGAAAGCGGGAATCATTGGCCGATCAANCAACCGGCCGGCCATTTTGAGAACAGACCGTCTGAAGCTCAGAAAAGTCTAAAAACCTCAACAAAAAGATTTGTTTTTGAATCCTTAACCCTGGAAAGTTTGTTAAGTCTGTAATGGCTGATCCTGCCTCGAGAAAATCTGCCACACTTAATCGTTTACGCTCGGCACTCCGCAGAAAGCAGGAATCATTGGCGGATCAATTTGACTTCAAAATTTACATGGCTGTTGTTTTCAAGGATAAGGTAATTTGCATTTGATTGTTAGTTTTGAAACTGGGTATCACCTATAACAGGAAGCTGTTTAAAGGTGGTGATATCTTGTAGCGCTGATTTAAGGTAAAGAACTCAAACTTTGCTAGACTTGTCTCATGCATTTGACTTGTTTACATCACCCCCCTCCCCCCCACGTGCATACTCCAGGGCCGGGTTGTTCAAAGCTGAGTTAAGATATTTGATGATTGGATCCACTAAAAATAACCGAGAAAATTATCCTATAAAATGCTTTTAAACAAAAGAAAAAGGAACCTGGATGAAAATTTAACTCTAAGTTGGTGTCAATTGGCCTTCAAAGTACTGGGCCCTGCCCTGGTTGGTTCATATTGATTTCCATGAAATGGGAAAATGAAATGTTTTTACTGGAATGTTTATCAATGTTTTCCAGAAAAGTAGGATAATACGTGTAAAACATGGTTAAAACATGAATTACTAAATTGAAAAACAATAAGAAGTGTTTCCTTGAAATAATGAGCAACAGACAGAATAGGATAAGAAAGTTTTATTTGTCTTATCAAGCTTATATAGATGAATAGGCTGAAAAAAAATTTCTGTGGTTGAAGAGATCTAGCCATCCATTCAAGTACCGGTATGCTCGAAAGCTTATCCTTGTCCAACCACTTTCTTCTAAATTCCTGTGTTTTCCCTTCAAAATAAGCTTTCTTGGGGTCCACCGCCATCATCTCAACCGTGTGAGAGAGAAGTTGTTTTTGATTTTCCCCGCCCCCTGCCCACAACACAAGACGTCTTCAAACAATTTCCTAACCCGAGTCCCGAAGGGCTGGACTTGTCCCTGGGGTTGCCCAGGTTGGGGGGTAACAGGTCAAATTGAACCATGATTACCAGAGGCTGTTGGTGGTCCTGAAACATATGCATTTTGTGCATTCTCTACCTCAGTGCTGAATGTGATTGGACTGTCAACTTTTTAGTTTTGACCATATAAGGTGTTGCTGTTCTTCAGTCAATTGATAAAGTTATGGGTGAATTTATTTCCTTCTAATGACTTCTGTTAAAAGAAAGGAAAACTTTCATTGCGGATTGTGGTATAAACGTTTTTAGTTCTCTTGTCAGCCCCTTCCCACCATCCGTCAAATAAATGCAAGGTTTTATCCTCTTCATGACCATCAGAAAAAAACAACCAACTAACAAAAAAACAAAACAAAAAGCAGAAAACAAAAGCAAAGAAAGCAAAACCAACAAAGACAACCTATCAGATTTTCACCTGGAAGAGCTAGTATAGCATTTCTTCTTGAAGTTCACCTAAAGAGTGACAAGATCTTAAAGCAATAGGTTAGGCGTTTGATATTGAAAAGGTGGATATATTGTAGCTCAAACTTAAATTGCAGTTGAAGTTTTCTTACATACCTTAAGTTGATTCTTTGTCTGACCCAACCCTAATTATTAGGGTTAGGAGACAAAGGAACTGAAAATTTAGTTTCTACCAACAACTACAACAGATGCATACTGCTATCCACTATTTAAATCATTACCCAGCAGTCAAGAGTAGTACCACATAAACATTAACTGCAAAATACGCTGGATATTAGTTATATACAATGTAGATTTACTCAGACTATGAATCTTACTATCCACCATTAGGACTACTGGGACAGAAGGACTATGATCCTATTTTCACCTAATGGGCTTGGAATACACCATGTCATCGTTCACTTTTAATAATATTATTTCAAACGTGTTGTTATCTTATTTGCATGAGTGCTGTTGGGATATACATATGTGGTATGTTTGGCTAAAAAAAAATTTAAAGAAAATGTGTAAAACATTATGATTTTTGTTCACAGAAGAAGAAGTCTTCATTGTTTGAAGTGGCAGATGTGCTACCTGTTATGACCAACAACTTTGAAGACACTATTATGAAAGGAGTTCAGGTACTAGGAGTTTTTTTGTACCCTCCTCACTACCTGCCTTTGACAGCATTCCCATACATACCTTCCCACATGCACAGGGTTGTCAAAATAGGCCGGCAACCAGTGCTATCACCGGCTACTTAAGGTTTCTGCCGCCAGTAACCTGGGAAACACATATCCCTACTGATATGCATTCCCCTACATGAGAAACAAATATCCCTAGTGAAATGTGTTCCCCTACCTGGGAAACACATATCCCTAGAGATACGTGTTCCCCATCAGGGAAACACATATCCCTAGTGGTTTATGTTCCTCTTCCTGGGAAACACATATCCCTAGTGATATGTGTTCCCCCACCTGGGAAACATGTTTCCCTACTGATGTGTGTTCCCCCACCTGGGAAACACGTATCGCTAGTGATATATGCTCCCCCACATGGGAAACACGTATCCCTACCGATATGTGTTACCCTACCTGGGAAACACATATCCCTAGTGATATGTGTTCCCTTATCTGGGAAACACATTTCCCTAGTGATATGTGTTCCCCCACCTGGGAAACATGTTTCCCTACTGATATGTGTTCCCCCACCTGGGAAACACGTATCGCTAGTGATATATGTTCCCCCACATGGGAAACACGTATCCCTACTGATATGTGTTACCCTACCTGGGAAACACATATCCCTAGTGATATGTGTTCCCTTATCTGGGAAACACGTTTCCCTAGTGATATGTGTTCCCCCACCTGGGAAACATGTTTCCCTACTGATATGTGTTCCCCCACCTGAGAAACACGTATCGCTAGTGATATATGTTCCCCACATGGGAAACACGTATCCCTAGTGATATGTGTTACCCTACCTGGGAAACACATATCCCTAGTGATATGCGTTCCCCCTCCTAGGAAACACATATCCCTAGTGATATGTGTTCCCCCATCTGGGAAACACATATCCCTAGTGATTTATGTTCCCCTTCCTGGAAAACACGTATCCCTAGAGATATCTGTTCCCCCATCTGGGAAACAGGTTTCCCTAGTGATATGTGTTCCCCCACCTGGGAAACACATTTCCTTAGTGATGTGTTCCCCCACATGAAAAAAACGTATCCCTAGAGATATGTGTTCCCCTACCTGGGAAATGCGTATCCTTAGTAATATGTGTTCCCCCACCTGGGAAACACACTAGAGATATGTGTTCCCCCGTCAGGGAAACGCATATCCCCAGTGATTTATGTTCCTCTTCCTGGGAAACACATATCCCTAGTGATATGTGTTCCCCCACCTGGGAAACATGTATCCCTACTCATATGTGTTCCCCCACCTGGGAAACACGTATCGCTAGTGATATATGTTTTCCCACATGGGAAACACGTATCCCTAGTGATATGTGTTCCCCTACCTAGGAAACACGTTTCCCTAGTGATATGTTCCCCACAGGAAAAAAATGTATCCCTAGAGATATGTGTTCCCCTACCTGGGAAACACATATCCCTAGTAATATGTGTTCCCCCACTTGGGAAATGCATATCCCTAGTGATATGTGTTCCCCTACCTGGGAAACACATATTCCTAGTGATATTTGTTCCCCCATCTGGGAAACATATATCTCTAGTGATTTATGTTCGCCCTCCTGGGAAACACATATCCGTAGTAATATATGTTCCCCTACCTAGGAAACACATATCCCTAGCGATATGTGTTCCCCCATCTGGGAAACATATATCTCTAGTGATTTATGTTCCCCTTCCTGGGAAACACATATCCGTAGTAATATGTGTTCCCCTACCTAGGAAACACATATCCCTAGTGATATGTGTTCCCCCATCTGAGAAACACATATCCCTAGGGACACTAGAGATATGTGTTCCCCCGTCAGGGAAACACATATCCCCAGTGATTTATGTTCCTCTTCCTGGGAAACACATATCCCTAGTGATATGTGTTCCCCCACCTGGGAAACATGTATCCCTACTCATATGTGTTCCCCCACCTGGGAAACACGTATTCCTATTGACAGTGTTCCTCTACTTGGGTAACACATATCTCTAGTGATATGTGTTCCCACACCTGGGAAACACGTATTCCTATTGACAGTGTTCCTCTACTTGGGTAACACATATCTCTAGTGATATGTGTTCCTCCACCTGGGAAACACGTATCCCTAGTGATTTATATTCCCCTTCCTGGGAAACAGGTATCCGTAGTGATATGTGTTCCCCCTCCTGGGAAACATGTATCCCTAGTGATTTATTTTGCTCTTCCTGGGAAACACATATCCCCAGTGATATGTGTTCACGTACCTGGGAAACACATATCGCTAGTGATATGTGTTTCCAGACATGGGAAACACGTATCCCTAGTGATA